CATACCCATTGAACTTACAATGAGATACACTTGGGTCAAAACATCATTTATCACCTAGTGACCTAGTTCTATATACCATGACTCTAACTGGATGATGACATTTTTTGGATCTTTTGATATTAATATCTGCTCCAACCCTATAGCTAATAGTACTGAAAAAGTAAAGTTACTTCTGCAAATGACCACAGATGTTTTTTATAATTACTATATGTACTTATGGAAGCACTTCAAGGTCCTTCCTCAGGGGCAAATGGCTTCTCCCTTTCTATCAATGGGCTCTAGATCTTAAAGCTGACTTATATCTGGAAACCTGATAAAGTACTGTGAGTTTCCATTTCAGTGGTCAATGTCAAGAGCTGATTTTTTTCTGCTTATGCAAATCAAACAACATTTCAGTCAGCTGGTCACCTAATTTTGCTCCTAGAAACAGCATGATATATTAGCTATTACCATAGATTCCTGTACTACCATCCAGGCTTACTACTGGTTATGGTAATTATGTTTGTATTGCCAGATGGTCAAATATTACCATCTGGCCCCTACCAATCCTGATATTTAATCCCCATAGATACTGTGGAGTCTGGATCTCTGCCATCATCTCCTACTGGCAACAAAAGCCAAAACAGGACAACTCCTATGAAACTTCTCAAAAAATGCTTGTACTCATCTTTCCAAAGCACTCCTTATTAGGTTAAGTGAACACAGTGTCCTTAGAGCCTCCCAAGGAATACAGTCAGAAGGTGAGTTGCCAGGACAAATATAATATATCCATTTAACATTCTCACCTCCTTGTCTTCTGACCCCTTTCTTTAATACTATACATCTCTACTTTGTTTATCATTACACCTTTGTTGAGTCCAGCCTTCAAAGAACCATCTCAACAAATGATTAGGACCAATTCCAGGTGTCCTTCTCAGAGCATTAAATCCAAATTATGGTTGAGTGTCCCCAAGTAAATGAACTCTCCTCTATGTAGCCCCTATGTTCAAATACTTAGAAACACATTCCTGTACACTTCGTGACTAACTATCCAGTTCCTAAATTCCTTTGGTGGGGAGTGGGTTCATATGTAGTGCCTATTTCTTCCTGGAGGAAAACTTATATGTTAGGCTGTGCTGAAATCTAAGATCTGATTCTAATTATTTGCCTGAAGGTAATGATATTGAAGGTTGATCTTGTGAGGGTAAACATCATCAGGCAAGAAAACTACCTAATTTCACTGGCCATTTACCAAGTCTTCTAGAAAAGGGGAAACCATTCTCTGGAAATAGAAAAAGAGGTACTTCTGCTGGCCATGAGGGTTCAAAGAATTTGGAGAGGGTGAAATTCTCAGGCTTATGCTCACAAATTTCCCTATCCCAAGTTTAGTGGTTGAATAATGTCCCCCCCAGAACTTCAGAATACGTCCTTATTTGGAGATTGCATCTTTACAGCTGTAATTCATTAAGAATTTTGAGAGGAGGGGCATGATTTATAATTATAATTTATTTCATCATAGTTCATAGAAATTATATTCCATATTTCATATGAAGTATTACAGTATTGTTAATTTTTATATATTCTTCAGTTTTGGTTTTTATTTTCTATTTGACATAATAGTTATATAATAAGAGTTTTAAACTGCTTCTACAGTGTGTATAGTACAATAAATGTTGAGAAAAAGCCAAGATAGAGAAAGAAGAAGTGGAGGACCTACCAGATAACAAAATATTTTGTAAAGATATTATTATTAATAAAATGTAGTCATAGTACACTAATAAATAAACATATCAATGCAACAGAGGAAAAGTCCAGAAAAAAGACCCATTCAAACATGGGAACTTCATATGTGAGTGAGATTTCCTTATAAATTAGTAACTGAACTAACTATTCAATAAATGAATTATTTCTATGTAAAAACAGATGCATCCCATTTCTCAAACCAACATAAGATAAATTATATTTAGGTTAAAATCTAATTGTGAAATGGAAAGCCTTAAAACTGATTTTCTTTTTTTAAAAAAAGGATATTTTCCCACAGGAAGAAATGATTTACTGAATAAGATACAAAATGTGAGAATCAAATGAGAAGACTGATAAAATAAGAATACTGATAAAATAAGAATACATTAAAATAAGAAAAAACCTCTATGTGTCAAAAGGCTATTGATAGAAAACTAATGTATAAGAAGTCAAATGATTTGGAGGCACCTGGGTGGTTCAGTTAGTTAAGCATCTCGCTCTTGTTTTTGGCTCAGGTCATGAAATCTCAGTTTGCAGGATGGAGTCTCATAGCTAGCTCTGCGCTGACAAATGGAGAGATTCTCTCTCCCTCTCTCTGCCCTTCCCCTGCTTGCACATAAAGTTGTCTGTACTCTTTCTCTCAAAATAAATAAATAAACTTTAAAAATAAAAGCCAAATGACTTATTCAAGATTTCAAACATGTAGTATTCTAATTTATTTTGCATCCCTTTTAATTTTTAATTACATAATTAATACACATTATATTCTTTCATAAAAATTTTAACAAAAGGGAATATCAATAACTTTGAATACTTTCCCCAGTTCCAATCTCTAGTATATACTGCCTTATATGCAACTTTATTATTCTACAACCTTTACTTATAAAACATGACTTAAAGAGCTTTCCATATCAGTACAGAATTCTATAATATGGATATGTTAGGTTACATTTATTCAACTTTCTATTAATTGAACTTTATTCAGTTTTTAATATTTTGCCCCTTGGTAATATAAATAGGATAGACATCTGATATGAATTTTCTAAGTCATAACAAATACACATTTTAAATGGTGATAATGATAGATTGCCCATATTGGTATATATACCTATTAGTGCTGTATTTAGGTGTCTATTATTCGATTATTAATATTTTCCATTACTTAATATTATTTTTAATGTTTAATATTTTGCCAGTCTGATGTGGAAAAAATGGGATATTGCATTTCCCTAGTACTTATAAGTGAGGGTATTTCCTTTTCATAGCAGCCAAACTCTGCTCTCTAGACATGAGAGGCAACACGTTTTCAACTCTTATAACTGCCTTTTCTGGTAGACTTACTCTCATATTTCTAAATACATTTAAATTGCAATTTCTTGATATATTAATTAGACATTATTGATTTCCTATTATGAAAGATGAGAATATAGTACAAGTTTTTAAATATATTTTGCATGTTCCTTACTTGCCTGCTATATATGTAGCAAGTATCTCCCTCTTTATTGCCTATTTCTTATCATGATTGTCTCATTATGGTATATTCCTTAAAGCTTTTAGGTTTTATGTCTTTCCCAAGGATATCTCTGCTTTATAGTAACAACTCATTTCCTATAGTTTCTTCTAAAACTTTGAGTTGTGATTTTCATGTTTATGTATTTTCTCCATCTGGAATTTACTTCTATGAAAGGTGTAAGGTAAGAGACATTACTATTTTTTCAAAACAGATATCCAATTGTCCAACATTTATTCAATAGCTTATTATGTCTGAAAACATCTTCTCTGAAATCCAAAATTTACTACAAATGTCTGACCCATTTCTGGAATGTCCATTTAGATCTACTGGTCTTTTTGCATGCCCTTGTACCAATATCACAATGTATTGTATTACTTTTTAACAATAGCCAAATTATGGAAAGAACCCAAATGTCTACTGACTGATGAATGGATAAAGAAGATGTGGGGGGAGGGAGTGTGTGTGTGTGTCTGTGGTGGGATATTCCTCACTAATAAAAAAGAATGAAATCTTGCCATTTGCAATAACACACGTGCAGCTAGAAAGTATTATGCTAAGCAATATAAGTCAAAGAGAGACAAATACCCTATAATTTCACTCATATGTGGAATTTAAGAAACAAAACAGATGAACATAGGGGGATTAAAAAAAAGAGAGGCAAACCAGAAAACAGACTTAACTATAGAGAACAAACAAGGTTACTGGAGGGAGAAGTGGGCAGGGGGTAAGGGGGACAAGTTAAATGGATGATGGGCATTAAGGAGGACACTTATTGTGATGAGCACTGGGAGTCGTATGTAAGTGATGAATCATTAAATTCTATTCCTGAAACTAATACTACAATGTTGTTAACAAACCAAAATTTAAATACAATGTGAAGAAAAAATAAAATTAAAATGTTTTAAACATTTTCCTTTTATAAAATTTATAGTTACTAATTTTATTTTTCTTCTTAACTGAAGTATAATATACAGTGTTATATTAGTTTCAGGTGTACAATATAATGATTCAAGAATTCTTATTCTTCCATTTATCTATTACACCCCTGTCCCCAACCACCTCCCTCTGGCAATCATGGATTTGTTCTGTATATTTAAGAGTCTGGTTTTTTTGCTTGTCTTTTTTTCTCATTGTTCATTTGTTTTGTTTCTTAAATTCCACATATAAGTGAAATCGTATTATTTGTGTTTCTCTTATTTCACTAAGCATTTTACCCTCCAGGCCCATCCATACAGTTGCAAATGGCAAGATCTCATTCTTTTTTATGGCTGAGTAATCTTTTATTGTGTATATACACCTCTTCTTTACCTATCCATCTATGGATGGACACATGGGTTGCTACCACACGTTAGCCATTGTTAACAATGGGGCAATAAACAAAGAAGTGCATACATCATTTAGAATGAGTGGAGTTTTTTGTGTGTTTGTTTTGTTTTGTTTTTGATAAATATCCAGTACTGTAATTACTAGATCATATGGTATTTCTATTTTTAATTTTTTGAGGAACTTCTATACCGTTTTCCATAGTGGCCTCACCAATTTGCATTCCCAGCAACTGTGTACAAAGCTAGAGATATCACAATCCCAGATTTCAAGAGACCCTACAAAGCTGTAGTAATCAAATCAGTATGGTACTGGTATAAGAACAGACACATAGATCAATGGAACAGAATAGAGAGCTCAGAAATAAACCCATGCTTACATGGTCAATTAACCTATAATAAAGGAGGCAAGAATATATAATGGGGAAATCACAGTCTCTTCAACAAATGGTGCTGGGAAAACTAAGTTGCATGTCATCCTTGCCCAGGGGCCATGCTAATCTTCTCTGTATCATTCTGATTTTAATATAGGTGCTGCCCAAAAAGCATGGTGCTTAGAAAACTAGACAGCTACATGTAAAAGAATGAAACTGGACTGTTTTCTTATACTATACACAAAAATAAACTCAAAATGGATTAAAGACCTTAATATGAGACCTGAAACCATAAAACTACAAAAAATGGGTGGTAATTTCTTTGACATCAGCTGTAAAAATATTTTTCCAGATCTGTCTCTTCAGGCAAGGAAAACAAAAGCGAAATTAAGCTAGTGGGACTACACGAAAATAAAAAACTTTTTCACAGTGAAGGAAACCATTAATAAAACCAAAAGGACAACCTACTGAATGGGAGAAGATTTTTGCAAATGATATATCCAACACGGGGTTAATATCCAAAATATATTAAGAACTTATACAATACCAAAAAACCCCAAATAATCTAATTAAAAAGTGGGCAGAGGACATGGATAGACATTTTCCAAACAAGACATACAGATGACCAAGAGACACATGAAAAGATGCATAACATTGCTCATCATCAGGGAAATGCAAATCAAAACCACGATAAGATGTCACTTTATACCTGTTAGAATGGTTGAAATAAAAATCAGAAGAAATAACATATTGCTGAGGATGTGGAGAAAAATACTTTCTTTTTCTTATGAATTTTAGAATCATTTCTTTAAAAATAAGTAAATTCTGATGACACCTGATTGGAATTACGCTGCATCAATGGATCAATTTGAAGAAGTCCAATGTTCTTTCTGTTACATCAGGCAAACTTGACTTTCAGGCTCAATATTATTAGGCAAATTAACTTTATATCATTTAAAAATAAACAAAGAAGCAAACCTATACTAACTAATTTATTCAGGTGTTTTCTATGGTACTTGCAAAAAATATATTCTTGAAGAAGCAATATTTATGATGAAAGTGATGCTTCAGATATTTTCATGTTATCAACTTGGTTTCTTCAAAATCAAAAGAAAATTATATCAAAATGGATAAGGATTATTTCTATAATCTCAGAACATTTTCTGTACATTTACCTATTCATAAAATCAAGATTGGCTAATTTATGATTATTTAATCTTGGTCATTTATCATTACTAAAACTGAATAGCAGAGACCAATGATTAATGATATAGATAATAAAATTGTTAAGTTCCAGCATAGAATATTTGAAAATTGAAGTTGTTCCACATGTCCCATATCTTCCTCAAAATCCTAGAATTAAATATCACCTTTAGCTCTAGGTGAAAATAAGGACTTAATTTGGGACCATTATTAGTGTGAATAATTCATTCATTCATTCATTCATTCATTCATTTGCTTATTCATTCATTTAACATATTTTAATTTTAGAAAACACTGAATGCTATGAACTGTGCTATAAGTTAGGTACAAAATAAGAGCAAGAAACACCTTCATTCAAGGATGAGGAAAATAAATGCAAGAATAATGGTACTGTAATACTCACTTTCCCTTCATCTCTTGGGCTATCACTTAAATGTACAACTGGACCTGGATGAGTCTTTGTGGATCTGTTAAATCAATTCGAAATAGTAATTAAAAAATTAAAATACCTTACCATTAGAGACTGGAACAAAGAAATTACACTAGAATACACTCCTAATATTATGAGAGTTAAGCTTAGATTCATTTGAATTTTGGTTGTTTTTCTTGAACACTATCTTTCTTTCTCCTAGTAAATCTAGTAAAATAGGTGAATTTTTAAAAAATCAGGTTTAAGAACATAGATCCATATAACAATAGAATTCTACATTTCTCTTTTGTTTTAAATGCTTATTTATTTTTGAGAGAGCAGGCATGGGCTAGGGAGGGTCAGAGAGAAGGGGACACAGGATCCAAAGCAGGCTCTGTGCTGCAGACAGCAGAGAGACCAATGTAGGGCTTGAACTCACAAACTATGAGATCACGAGCTGAGCTGAAGTCGGATGCTTAACTGACTGAGCCACCCAGGTACCCTAGGATTCTTTATTTCTATAGCACAAAAATTAAATACTTCAAGGGACAATATTGATAATGAAAGTGATGCTTTAGATCTTTTCATGTTATCAACTTCATTTCCTCATTATCAAAAGAAAATTATGAATAATCAAGATGATGCCTTTTCATAAAATTATAGATTTATGGATTGGGTATTTATATGTTTGTTGCCTTATCTGGGTCTCTGAAAATTTGAAATTGAACTTTTACTTATACAAGCAAAATAAAATTTACACAGCTATAAGGCTAATGCTGTAAATCCTTTCAACCAAATTGCAAAGTATATAACTGATTTACAATTTCTTTGTGATGACAAAAAATCTCTGGTTTTGCTCCTAAGAAAAGTGTAGTAGCTCCTTTTATGTACAAAGAAACTCTAGTGATCGCCAGCTTACAGAAAATTGACAAACCGAGGATACATAGTTTACTGGTTATGTCTCATTTATTTGTTAGCCGGAGTAAGCAATAACAGATAACTATGTGTCTAAGTGCATATTGTTAAAAGGACCTATGCTCTGTAAATCTGACTTTAAATTTATTCTACTCTGATATCTGGCATGTTTCTTTTGTGTTACCTATTTTAATATATTGTTGAATATGATTATGTAATGGTTAAAGATAATATGGCCTGATATGACCATAGATTTGTTACTGCTCATTTTTCCACATCTTTTCTTCAACAACTTATTTGTGCCAGATTAATCCTATTATGATTATACTGACATAGTTATAATTTTTTTCATATGCACAATTAAAATCATTAAAAATTCTTCACAAAATAGTAAAGAAGATTAAATTTTAATAACTTGCTAGCATCAGAAGAGTGACAAATTAAGTAATTCTAAGTTCCTCAGATACTGACCCCCCACAGTGACTCAGAAGAATAAAAACAGATTTTTTAAAGATATTTTGTTACTAGTTTTATCCTAAATTTTATCATCTAAAAATGGAAATAGCCATACTGAACATACTGAGTAATTATGAAGATTAGAATGTATATATATTACAACCTAATATAATGGCAAAACTTGTTAAGCACACAATGAATAGTATGTATTATGACTGTTGTAAATCAAAGGAGTAAATGGAAACCAGAGTTACTATCTGCATTCTAAATGTAATGTTTTATTAGAGTAGAAGTGCCTCTGATAAGGGACAATGTCCTTCAATTACCCTTTGGAAATTAATAATATCCAACAAACTACATACCCCTGTCTCTTGGGATTGATTGGAACAACAAATAACAAAGTGTACTACATGATAAACTAGTGAATTTATAATGTATTTCACTTAAAGAGTGTTCCATGTTTAAAAAGTTTGGGAAACCCTGAATTAAACACATTTAATATTTTTTTCTTCTACAAAAATTCTTAGAGCTATAATATGCAAGTGAATATTGCAAATCTTTCATATTTTCCAAAAGTACTGTTTATAGAATCTTTTCTTATTGACTATATTAAAGGAATCACTGAAATATACTTTGAGAAACAATAGAAAGGCCATAGGCAAGACTACCATTTAGACTCTCAGATTCTGTTAAACACTCAAGTTCAGAAAATAATCTAGCATGAAACGTCAGTTGTTTGTATTTACTTTTACAGACTATAGACAATATATTATTTGTGTAAAAAAAAAAAAAGCCAAACTTAGAAGTCACTAATAGTCAAAAGAACAAGAAAATCTCTCATATTATTCCACTGCCTAAATATAATGACTACTAACATTTTGATGTGTTTTTCTGACTTATGACTTTATGACTTAAAGCACTGACATACTCTGGATTCTGTAAGTCCTACAAAAATTACTTTAGATAGAATTATCAGTGGCCTTAAGTCATGTAATATCCATCTAAATAATGGCCAACAATATTTCTAGGTATCCCTCTTTATTTATCTTCCTCTCATTCACCATAATCACTTCTTAATAGTTTCCTTTGTGGACTTTCTTTCTCCTTCTGTATCTTAAATATTGGTATTCCTTTGCATTCTGTCCTCATCTGTCATCTATTCCCATGTTTATATGGTCATGAATTCAAGAACTCACAGGAGCTAGGCAAGTATTGCAAATGAATTAAATAGGCTGAATGAGAACTGTGTCAAACTGGATAGTACATTACCCACCTACAAAAGGTGGATTGATTACTGACTGCCATGCAAGAATACTGAACTAGAATTGTCTCATCATGAATTTTCATGAAAATCTGGAAATACAAATTTCTATTTCTACTTTACTAATTTTCAAATATTAGAAATAACTCAGAATATATTTAAAACTCTGGTAGCCAAAAAGACATATCTGTGAGTCAGAATTGGTTAGTGTCTGCTAGTTTGCTACCTGTTTTCTATATACTCTTCATACACAATCTCATCTTTTCTCATGGTTTCAAATACCATAAATTCAAATCTTATTACCTTCAGATCCATATATCCCACTTCCTATCATTTTCCCATACCAATTCCATTTGAATGTCTTATAAACACATACGACTCAACCTACCTAAAACTGAACTCATTATTTTACTCCCAACTTACTCAATCTCCTCCTTTATTTCACTAAATAGCACCCTTATCTACACAGTTGCTCAAGTCTAACACCTCTTAATTCTTCTCTACTGTTCTTAGATACTCCCATAATACCCAAGTCTGACCTCTTCTATCTTCTATTCATTTAATTGTGGCAACTTATCTCCACTCTTAAATCAATCATAATCATTACCTAGTATACAGTCTTTTTTCTCTTTAACCATTTCTTCATACCTGCCTTCAGAATAGTCTTCCTAAATGCATATTTAATCAAGGCAATTCTCTGTATACAGGCTCTTCAAAATCCAACTCTTGGCCTTAGAAGAAGTCCAAACTTCTCAAACAGGCTTAAAAAGCCTTTCTTATTATATCCCCTGATTACCTCTCCTTTGTCATCCTCTCTCCCAGGTATTCCAACCAACTAAACTACTTAAAATTCCTGTGTATGGAACAAAAACCTTCTCAAATTCCATCCTGTAAACTTTCTATCCCCTCCTTCTGGAATACTCACACCCTT